AGGGTGAAATGGGATAAGTAGGTAAAGGGCACCAAGCTAACGTTCTCTGAGTGCTAATCATCCTCACCACATCATTGCTCATTCATTGAATATACCAGGGGCACCAAAAATATATATATATAAGTGGACACTTTGGTCAGCATTGCTCAAGCAGTAGTTCACCTTAATCAGAAGTGTCTGGACACTGATGGTAACCACTTTGAGCACCTCTTATAATTGCGGAAGTCAATGTGACTTCTATTCATCTTCTGTTATTGGTATATATTGAGTATTACAATTTAATACAGTTTTCCTTTCTTAAAATGTGTATAGGGGCCGGCCGAGTGGCTCAGTTGGTTAAGAGTTGGCTTAAGAGCATGAGCTCTGAGCAACAGGGCCGCTGGTTCAAGTTCCATATGGGTCAGTGACACTGCGCCCGAGCTGAGCTGTTGCTGAGCTGCCAACACGTGGCAGGATGGCTCAGCTGGTGTAACAACAAGATTGACTGTTAGATGGTGGGCTGCGCCCACCCGCAACTAAGACTGAATTCGGCACCTTGAGCTGAGCTGCCACCCGGATGGCTCAGGGGACAGTGCGGTCTTAACAAAAAGGCTACTGGTTCGACTCCCACATGGGATGGTGGCTACGCCCACCCGCAACTAAGATTGAACACAGCACCTTGAAATTAGAGGCCCCGAGCTGCCCATGGGCAGCCAGATGGCGACTGGCGCCCTCCACAATGAAGATTGTAGAACAACAACTTGGCTGGTCCCCTTCCCCAATTCCCCAGCACTGTTCCCCTTCCCCAATTCCCCAATAAAATCTTTAAAAAAAGGGAAAGAAACAGTGTATACATTTTTTTGGCACCCTCTGTATATTTGGGCATCTTCCACATCCTAGGCACTGTTCTAGGTGCTGAGGACACAGAGGTAAACAAGACAGGCTTTGTGTTCTCAAGGAACTGACATTGTAGACAGGAAAGATGGATGATAAGCAAGCCAACTGTTATAATTTCATATGTGAGAGTGCTCTGAGGGAGGCAATAGCTAGTGACCAGATGGGTGGGGGTAAGAGGAACTTGAGCAAAGGTAGTCAGGGAAGGCTTCTCTGAGGAGGTGAACTTTGGGCTGAGGCTTGAATGAGGAGGGGAAAGCAGCCATGTGATGAGCTGGGGAAGACTGGGGAAGGCAGTGGAGGGGCCAGGAAAGAGGCCCTCTGAGGAGAATGAGGGGGGCGAGTTGGGTCAAGCACCAGATGAGGTCTCTATGAACCACCTCCACAACAAGGAGACTGGAGCCCAAGGAGGTGGAGCCCCCTGCCTGGACCTCTGGCTCTCTGTGCCGTTCTTTTTACTATCCCGGCCTCTCCTGGAGTCAGGCCTGCAAACACTCACACACATGTGCACACAGAGGTCCCTTGGAGGAAGTGCCAGGGAGGCTGGGAAGAGTTTCGGTTCTGCACACTGATGAGACTGCAGCTTGCAAGAAGGGACAGACCGGCAGCTAACACTGAGCCTCCATTAGCAGACACGGAGTTTCTGAAGTGGAGAAATGTTTATTGAATATTTTGAGGGCTGATATCAAAGGGAAGAGTTCTCAGTATGTGTGGTTAGTTGAGAAAGAGCCTGCTTGAGGCAAGGGAATGGTCTCTGCCGTGGTCATCAGAGAGGAGGGCTAGGGAAAGGTCCCCCCCCAACTTTTACTAGTTGAAATGAGGCAGTTGGTTTCTTTCCTCTGGTTTAAGATTTTGCCCTGTAGGTGTAATATAAATATGTTGGTGATCACAATTTGTGTGAAAAGTTTAAATTCTTCCCATTATAAACAAAGCCTCTCGGTTTAGGTAAAAATAAAAAATGCAGGCATAGCATAGAGTGTCTACAAAAGAACATATCTAAGATAAAAAGGCATTGGTGTCCCCCCCCTTAGCAATCACATCTTCCTGAGAGAGGATATGGAACCACAGGACACCCCCCTCACCCCCACACACCATTTTCCATGTGATATCAGGCACGTTGACCTCTGAGGCTGAGTTTTCTCATCTGCAGAATGGGGATGAATGAACAAACCTCCAGGTCTATGGTGAAGAGGACTGTGTAATGACCATGGGAGAGATACGGATTTGCTCAGTCGTTTGCACCTTAGTGTGAACAAGTTTCTGATTCTTTTCTGAGACCAGGTTTAGGTCTGGACAGTTGGGCAAAAAAGCTCAGAAGCATCTGGGAAGAAAAGTCAAGAAGTGCAAATCAGGGTCCTGACTTAACCTTCCGGCCTGTCCCAGAGCCACACTGAATGTCCTGTGGCTTGGGTGGTGCCCTGGCCATCCAACCCTGAAAGCAACAGAAGCCGGACTCCCAGGAGGCCAGGCCCATTTTCCTGAGGTTGGGTAGGTATTGACTGTTGGCTCTGATGACACAGGAAATGGAGGAGGAAGTGACAGCAATGGCGGAGGCTGAGCAAATCCCAGGCCTCACCCTGTGTTAGCCAGAAACACAGGATTTAGAGCAGAGGCCAAACCTATTCAACCCTCTTCAGTAAACACCATTGAAACTGCTTCTACCAGGCTCAGTGCTGGGTACAGATAATAAATCCACTCCATGTGGCCTGTTTCTTTGGAGTCCCTTCTCTGTAACACACCAAGAGATTTTTGACATTTCAGCCTCCCTTGGTTTGGAATTGAGATCAGATTTCAGTCAACCACTTCAGCAAACAGGACCACTCCCAGCTGCCTGAGCTGCCTCCCTGCATCTAGAATCACTAACCAGTACACCCACACGAGAAATGCTGCCCAGTCTGAAATTATGGCCCTTCTTTTCTGGTCTAGCTTTCTTAAACTCCATTTCCACACCTATTCCCCAGGTTTTTGCTGGTATTAATTAGCAAGATCTTACAACCCATTTGGTGTTTAAGCCTTTTCCTAGGTCAGATTTTTGTATGTACATCCCTGGCAAGTGATAAGATCTGGCTCTAGTTATGGGCTCAGAGAGGTGAAGCAACTTGCCCAAGGTCACACAGCTAGTATGTAGCTCCAGAGCCTGAGTGCTTAACCCTGACCCTCTCCCACCTTTGCNCCCTGAGGATTTTTAAGAGTATGGCCTGTTGTCCACATGGGCAGTCAGAGGGCCTTAGCAAGAGGAATCACAGGCTGGAACTCCCTCCTCCCTTCGACACCCCCACCCACCTCCAGACTTCGGGCACCCTCACCACCCTGGCCCCAGCCTTCACCTTAATCCTTCTCAGGGAGTCAGACAGACCTGGGTTTGAATCCTAGCTGCACAACTCATGAGGTTGGTTTTTTTTTTTTCACCTTATTGGGCCTCCTTCGCTTTATCTCTAAAATGGGAGGCAGGAAGCTGCATCCATACATGGCAACTCCTCTTACCCCACCTCTAGCGATCTGAAGCAGATCCACAAATTTAAGTGCAAAGTGTTGGACAGATAAACCCTTCCAGATTCTAGTCCTGAAGATGCACCTGAGTCCTAGGGGTCTTGAGTATATCCCAAGACTCCAATCAACCATAATTCTATAATCTCTTTCAGCCAGGCACTCCATCCTACCTCTAAGTTGCTTTTAACCCATTCATTTTGTAAATATTTACTGAGCATCTCCTGTGTACCTGAGAACTCGCTGGTATAGGGAATGCACAAACCATGGGATAAACCACCTGTTTCCACTCCTGCCTTTGCCACTGAACACCTGTAGGGCCCTGGCCAAAGGAATTAGCCTCTTTAGGACTCAAGTTTCCTCACCTGTGAAATAGGGGTAAATAAGCAGTTACGTCATCAGATTCAATCAGAGGATGTCTGCCATGCACACCTGGTAAGTAGTAAATACTCAATAACTAATAGCGGTCATTATTACGGTTATAAAGAATCTGGGGACAACGGCAAGGTGCAGGAATAGGGGTGGAAACGGACAGCTGCTCATGGCCTGCCTTCCCCGTGACCCCTATCCAGGACATGGTGACCTACTTCATGAACCTGAGCCAGGCGAACGCGCAAGGATCGGTGCGCTGGGAGCTCGAATACCGGGTGACCGAGGCCTACGGGGTGCCGGACGCAGGTGCCCGCTCCATGCACGCGGCGCTGGGCCGCATCGCCAGCGACCAGGGAGCGTTGCAGCGCTACTACGTCTACAACTCGGTCAGCTATGACGCGCGGGCCTGCGGCGAGGTCTGCCGCACAGAGCACTTGTGCGCGCTGCGCGAGGTGGACTTCGACGCATACGGCGCCTGCCTGCGCGCTCCCGGAGCTGCTCCCGCGCCCCGGCTCGCGCTGCTGTTGGCGGCGCTGCTCGGCCTGCGCGCGCTGCTCACGAGGTGACGTTGAGCGCCTTTTGCCCGCCAGCCGCGTTCGTCTTCCTCCTGATAAATTGGGGCCAGCGTCGCCCACTAAGAGTTGGACTTTTACACCATATCCCTCCGCGTCCGCAGAGTTAATGGATGGGACAGCCAGATCAGGAAGTGAAGCTGAAAGACCCCACCAGAAGCACATTTCTTACAAGTTTCACCTTTTATCGGAAAAAAAAAGCTCAACGTGCATCTTATTCTGTGTATTCCTTTCAATATGTAAATCATGTTTAAAGCAACTCCCTTGCACAGTTATTGAACGTCCTCCCGTCCCTCCATACGGATATTCGGAGTAAAATGAGCCAGGAAGATGCGCCTCGATAATCCGGCGCTCTCCGTCTCTCCAGCACACTGCTCGAACTCGAAGCACAATTAATTCGCGAAGTCCAGCAATCTGGGATCAGAAAGAACCTTTCTGGGGTTTTTTAGGCGGCAGTTCTTGCCCGGGCGCTAATCTCTGGACCATTTTCGCGATTTTGGGCGTCCAAGAGCCTCAAGTGCAAAACAAGGGAATCAGAAGCCTGCTAAACTAAGGGCAGTACACCTCGGGCGGCCCGTCTTCGGACCTAACGGTCCTCAGGGCTCAGCGAGGTTGGGTGGAGGATCCCCGGGAAGGCTGCAGAGCCAGGGCCCCGGGCCGCCCGAGGGACCACCTAGGCAACGGACCGCGGTCGTCGCTCCTCCCAGGACTGGGCGGGACAGGGAAGTCCCGCCCAGCCGGCGGGCCCTGGGCGGGACAGGGAAGTCCCTCCCAGCCTGCACGGGCTCCGGGCAAGCTCCCAGGGCTGCGCTCGCCTCCTTCCTGCCGCTGTTACCTCTGCCGGGAGGGCGGGTCCGAGCCCAGAGTGAAGGAGGGAAAGGGGCTGGCGCGTCATGCCCTTGTCACTCCGTGCCAAGCTCCTTAGGGACCTGATCCTGGACGTATGGGGAATCGCTGCCTTCCTGGTCAACCTTGGCGCCAACCTGTGGGCCGTGAGCCAGTATGTGCTCAGTGGTCGCTACGTGTGGGCCGCACTGGTGCTGACGTTGCTGGGCCTCGCCTCGGTTGCACTGCAGGTCTTCAGCTGGGTCTGGCTGCGCGCCGACCCCCTTGGCCTGCACGTGTCGCAGCCTCCAGGCCGCTGTCTGGCGCTGCTGCACCTCCTGCAGCTGGGGTACCTGTACAGGTGAGTGCCCCGCCCTCGGGAGGAGGGAGGAGGAGCGGAGCCCAGCGGTACCTCCTGCAGCTGGGCTGCTAGTACAGGTGACACGGGAAACGGGTAGGGAGGAGAGGACTGGGACCCAGGATAGGAAACTAAGCCCCCTGGGGCACCTCCACGTACAGGAGAGTTTCCCGTCCTTTAGTCCCTTAAAGAAAACTCCAGCTGAAACCCTCAGAACTCATCTAGCCCTACCCTTCCTGGCACAGGTGAAGAAACTGAGGCCCAGAGAAGAAAGGGAGGGACATGATTTGGAGTCAGAGCTCTCTGGGATCCTCCTGGCTTTACCACTTGTGGCCTCAGTCCTGCCTTTCTCTGAATCTCAGTTTCCTCCTCTGTTGAAAGGAGGTAGTAATCTAGAGGTAGGTCTGGGAGGCAGGCCTGTTGTGAGGAGTGAAGGAAAGCATAGTGCTTGGCTCCTGATGGACTGTAATGGCAAAGACATGCAGACAGACCAGTGTGTTGCTTTTAGCTGTGGACGGGGCCTTGGGCAAGTAACTGGACCACTCCAGGTCTCAGTTTACTCCTTGTTTCAGTGAGGATGGTCATAGTGCCTACCTCTGTTTGGTAAGGATTAAATGAAATGAGACCTGTGAGTTGTGTGCAAATGTCTGCTAGCTTCATAATTACCAGGTCATCCTGGGAGTTTTAGCAGCCCTGACCCCCAGAGCAGTGCTTGTTCCCTCACTGCTCAGTGCCACTCACCCTTTCTTTCTCAACTGTATTGTCCCTGAACATTTGNATGCTGCTACTGGGGACACTGAGGTGGGGAGATGGAAAGGGCCTTGTCCAAGGTCACAGGTCAGGGACAGAGCTAAGCCCGTTCTCTGTTCCATGCAATGCCTCCCTGGGCAAAGCCTGTGGCCCATTTTCTCTGGACCCTGAGTTCAGGGAAAACTTCCTTTCACCTGTGCAACCTCCCCTCCCTCAGCCCAGGGTTCTCCTGGATGGCCTCTGCCACCTGGGCTCAGGGAGGGTCCCGCATTGAGGAGGGTCTCCTTTCCCCTGCAGGGAAGTTCTGGCACATCTCTGACCTGCACCTTGACCCTGACTACAAGGTGTCCGCAGACCCACTTCAAGTGTGCCCATCGGCCGGCTCCCAGCTGGTGTCCAATGCGGGCCCCTGGGGCGACTACCTCTGTGATTCTCCATGGGTCCTCATCAACTCCTCCGTCTACGCCATGAAGGAGATCGAGCCAGAGCCAGACTTCATCCTCTGGACGGGGTGAGAGCAGTCATGATAGCTGCCCTTTACTGGGCCCCTGCTGTGTGCCATCTGCCACCTGGCACCTTTCTACACTACCTCCCTTCGTCATCACACCAACCCTGTTTTAGAGAGGACCAGCCTGAAGTTCAAAGGAGCTACGTAGCTTGTCCAGGGGACCCTAGGTCTGGCTGATTCCAAAGTTGGTGCCCTTGACCTCCGTATCTCCCTGCCTCAGCAGAATGCAGCTCTCACTGAGGCTGGGGACAAGGTCATGGCACGTCTGGGCATGTGGATTTTAAGTGGGCGGATGAATACTGCAGCCACTCCCACTGGGGTTTAGGGACCACAAGCCCTAGAGATACAAATGCAGCGATGGGAGATGGTAGGAGGGCTGAAAGTGGTCCAGCATTGGGACCACGTGTCCTGATTAGCTGCTGGCCACCCTTGGGCTGCCCTGGCCCTGGAGGAGGGAGGGGATTCTCACCAGTCAGAGCACTGCTCTGTGTGAAGAAGACTTGAGGGGCAATTTGCACTCAGCCACAGAGACTCCATTCCTGCCTCTCATCCAAGGATGCTGCTGTCAGTCTTCCAGCTTTCTTCAGCACTCACCATCCTCATCACTGGAGGTCTCCCCAACACACACTGACTCCTTTGCTCCCCCCCTGGGTGGGTCAGCCTATCCTGTGCTCAGCCCAGGGTAGATGGAGACCCCAAATCGCCTTTAAGGAGCTCACGGTCTTATGAGCACAAGCCCACTGACCATTATATCCCAGCGACAAGAGAGGGGAACGTGGGCGCTTCACAGAGCACCTACTCCATCTGGCAGGATTGGGGAGGATTTCCTTCAGGAAGTGGTGAACCAGGGACCTGGTGAAGAAGGTTGGCAGGCGCTCTGACTTCTTGCTCCCTCTTCTAGCTTCAGTGGACATTTCAAAAGGCAGGATCAAGCCCATGGTGCCCCCAGCTGTCCCTCAGTGTGATGTGGGATTGATCGGGACTGACCGTCAGATGGACCCTGTGATTGGCAGAGGGAGGGGCAAGGCTGGACACTTAAGACATGTGACAGTGTCTCAGGAGGGGCCCGGACAGCTCCGGCTTCCCTGGGCTCAGTGATCAGTCTTAGAAGACAGTGAGCTTTAGGTCATGACCCTGGGCTCCTGCTTCTGAGAGGGTTCTGAATTCTCTGAGGAGGGGCCCTTGGAGAAAGATGTGACCTTCTGAAAAACATGATCCCTCTGGGAAAGGTGACCGCTTTGGGAAATTCATGATTCTTTCAAAGCAGCATGATTTTTCTGGAAAATCTCTGGGATTTTGCAGAGGTGTATGGCATGAAACAAGATGACCTGTAGGACCTTTTATAATTCTTCATAGTCTAAGAAATTTGACTTCCCAGGGAGAGTTGCAATCCCTTGGGGGAATAACCTAGAGAAATTGGATGTGTTTTCTATCAGAATTAGATCCATCAAACTAGAAAAAAAAAAAAAGGTGGGGGGGATTTTGTTCCAATATCTTCGGATTTCTGGCTTGTCCCCAGTGAGGACGGAGCTAAAAAAGGCTTCCCTTGCTGCCCGAATGAGGTTGTCAGAGACACAGTAGGATGTAATGGGTGTGAGCAGAGGTTCTGAAGCTGAGGTTCAAACCCTGGCCCCACCACTCTAGTTGTAGACACTTAGGCAGAATTCCTCACCCTTTTGTGCCTTGGTTTCCTTATCTGTCAAATGGGACTAACAATAGAACCTAAGCTGTGGGGTTATAATGCAGAACAAGTTAGTGGATACGGTTACAGCCCACAGAAAGTACCTGGCACAACCTAGGCCCATGTGAGCTGCTAGTAGCACTATCAGCACTATTAAGCTAATTAACTTCCCCTGGGAATACCTGGGCAGCAGCTGCCTTGCCCCATGGGCCCCAGCAGTCCTCAGGCTTTAGACTGTTGGGATGTCACCAAACAGAAAGAGGTCACCCACCCATGCTAGCAGAGCCAAACACTACACACCGAGAACTTGCAGTGGAGAAAACTGGCTATTTCTTTCTGAACGGTGCCACCCAGGAGAATGGGAAGCTAATGCTCAAAAGCCTGAATTCCTGATGACATGTAGGCTACAGATTATATAGGGCAAAATCACAAGACACCGTGGGTTAGGGGCTCGAGCTCGTGCCGGGAGCTGATTGGTTGGAGGTGAGGTAACGGTAATAAATCATTTCTTCAGGTCTTGAGGACAGTTCTGAGGTCTGTTCCAGTGTATCCCTCGGTCTGGTCTCATGGGAAAGTAGCCAGGGGGTTGTTCCACTTTAGGGCTCAGGAGCTGCAGCATAACTTAGGTCACGGTGTTATCTTTAGCTGCCAGAGGTCTGGACCTTGTGACCATTAGTCAGGTCCGGGCCACTGTGTTCTGCTGCCTCGGGGTTGCTGATTATCCAGGGGAAGGCCTAGGTTTCATATACATAGCTAGATATGATTTCTAGAGCTAGGATTTAAAGCTAAATTTAATCAAAGTCATAAGGACCCTTGGTTTCAGGGGCTCCTACCCCAAACTTCACCTTCCCCCATTCTCCTCCCCTGCTCCCCCGCCTTGCTGCGCAATTCTCAGGTGGAGAATTTAGGTCAAACAGGGAAGGAGAAGGGTGGGGGACACGACTAAACGGTCCTGGCATAGGCCCAGGATCTGCCATAGAGTAGATCTGAACTCTATACTCCGAAGCCCGCTCCAGACTTCTTAGAAACCTTGGAGAAAGGAACACAACTCAGAGGCCACTTCTCCACCCCAAGCTCTCTGGGGGCTTGCAGATGGCACTGGAACCCCAAAGCCTCCCTCTCTAAATCATATTAATTACAACCTAGCACTTACTATTTTACATATATGTAATTTCCCCCTTATTGAAGTCTCACAAATACTCTATGAGTAAATGCCATTATTATCCCTATTTTATAGATGAGCTACTGGGGGCTCAGAGAGGTTAACTAACCAGCACAGGGACCCACAACAGGTCAGTGGCAGAGCCCAAGTTTGAACTCTGTCCCGTGTTGACGCCCAACTCCAGCCTGGTCAGACCTCTCAGTGGACGTCTGAGGCCCAGTTCCACAGCCTCTTTTCCCGCAGCAGAGCCCTGCTCCTTCCTTTTCCCATTTGCCATCCTGAGCTGCCCACACCAAACTGGCTCGGTGGTGTTTTGCAGTGACGACACGCCTCATGTGCCCAACGAGAGGCTGGGAGAAGCAGCTGTGTTGGAAATTGTGGAACGCCTGACCAAGCTCATCAGAGAAGTCTTTCCAGGTAAGGCCCTGCTATTGGTCCCCCACAGCATTCCCTGAACCCCAGGTGGTGCCTGGCACCATGGGACTACAGCAGCAAGATGTAGAGGAACAACCTTCATCCATTAACGATGGCTGTGGGCCAGGTTCTGTGCCAGGCTCTTCACAGCCGTCATTTCGTACATTCCAACAACCCCACAAGGAAACTGTGAGCTTGTCAGCCTGTGGATACACACAGAACCTCTTAATAGAAATGCCTGACATTTTGCTGCCTTCTGCCCTAACACCATAGTCACAGCCCCTTCTCAAGGCCGCTACAGTCACACACAGGCATTGTCCCTGGGTAAGTCTCATGTGGGCTCGCACACAACCCTGTGTCCTGCTGTGGCCCTGGAGCTGCCATCCACTGCTCTCAAACCAACCTGGCTGCTGGGACTTCTGGGAGATGCTGACTTCCAGCCAGGGTGCTGTTTCTTGGTACTTCCAAGACCTTCCTTCAGAACCTGG